TATGTGGGGGATTGTTGTGTATGCAAAGGGGTGTGTCAAAAGTGAAGTCCCACATTGCCCAAGAGAGAGGGAGCTCAAGTGTATAAATACTATCACACTTTATTGGGCTAGTAAATGGGCTAGAGGAGAAGGAGGGTCTCGCGCACACAACAACAGCCCACCAGGAGGGAAACGCAGTTGAAAACTAGCGATTTCCCCCCCTGCGCGTGAATTAGAACAGTACCGGGCACCTTTTGTAAATCACTTTTGCAAAATTAAATTATAAAATAGTGTTAGGAGAGCTTATCAGAAAACCCTTCTTTTGACCGTTTATTTTTGTAACAGCTGAAGGTTATTGAATGTTGGGAGTTTTCGAACCGTCATTGATTCTCCATTAATCCTCAAACCGTTTCTCATGGATTAATGCCTGGTAACGTCTGACATTGAATTTATTTCTTAAACGTACCCAACGTTCATAACCGACGGTATAATTACAGGTTAATGCAATAACGTATGAAACTGATAAGTTAATCGTGTTTATGATGGTGCCCAACGGTTAGGTCCCCGAGGCCTATATAAAGCGGTCCAGGACAGTGTGTTCTGCACCCCGCTCTTGAGCTTTCCAGCATCTGTTCCTCCTCTGCATTTCCCTTCTTCCCTCTCTGTGTTTCTGTGGTGCTGGGTTACTGTATTTTTCTACTGCTCTGTCACCCTGTTTCCTGCAGGAAGGGTTCGTTTAATCCTGGGGAGTGCCGCACTCACATTTACCTACGGTTGCGGAATAACTCTTAAGGACAGTGTCTGCCGGCACGACTCGGACCTAGCTGATACACAACTCCAGTTTTCTCTACATTTATGTCCAATAGATAATAACTAACCACGACGTCATTCTCTCAATATTGCACGACGTGCTTAAAAGCGTTTTAAAAAAAAATATTTTTACGCAAGTTAGAACAAAACTCTTCTTACTTAAGATTGACCATAATGTCATTCTCTCAATAATACATGACGTGTTTAGAAGCGTTTAAAAAAAAAAATTTTACGCAAATCAAAACAATACTCTTTTTACTTTTAAAATTATAATTTGGTTTCCACCCCAATACATTCCTCATCCATCAAATTGTTTAGTCTTTCAACCATGCGGTGCAAAATGATAACATTACCACCTTTGTTTGTTTGTTTATTTATTCAGCTCCAATCAATAAAGGACGCTTTCACCTTTGGTTCCCCTTTTTGTCCCACACATTTTTTTAATCATTTTTCTTATTATTACTTTCTTTCATTTACCCACTTAAAAATATAAAAGCATATATAAAGAAAAAAAATTTCATACATATTTGTTATTTTTAATTAATTTTAGTAATTTTTTTAAAACTAGGCAGTTCACTTATTTACCAAAAAAAAATCTTATAATAAGATAGGGAGGAAGTATATTATGTGCCTGTTTGGGAGGACCTAAGAGATCCCTTATAAACATGTTTCATATAAGTCAAGACAAAACTCCTCTTATATATTTGTTTTGTATTCCGTAAATCACTATTAAAAAAGTACTTATGACTTATAAACTGTTCCAAACAACTCCTATATTGCAATGAATTATACTTCCATTTCAATTTCAACCACGCATCGACATTTGTGTTCACGATATATATAATTGAGCATCACGTGATTCTCGCAAGTAAACTTTATCATCCCTCCTCTTCAGCAATAAATCTATCATGTCTATCATTTACCGAATTTTTAGACAATTTCAATCACATGCAAAATAATAACATTATCACCTTTATTTATTGATTCAGCTCCAATCAATAAATGACACTTTTATCTTAGTTTTCCCATTTTCAAACATGCGTACTATTGCATCTTAGCTTCCCCTATTGCTTATTCTTTTTTAAAATTTGCGAAGGAAGACCAACGCCCTTTTGTCAGAGGAAGATCGCATGTTCAACCTTACTTATAACCTCCAGTCATTAATTTTTGCCTCTATAATTAAGAAAAATAGAAAGAAAGTGAAAAGAGAAAATTAAATCTTCTAAGGCCTCGTTTTGTATCACGATTTTAAACATCTATAAACATATTTTATATAAAAATTAAAACAAAATTTCTTTCCCACATTTATATTACATTCTATAAATTATTATTAAAAAACTGTTCATAAATAACTTCAAATGAGCTAATGAGCAAATGGTGATCATGTTATTATTATTATTCTTATTAAAATATCCAGTTCAGGAAAGGATAATTTATTTGTTTTCTATTCTCTCTTGGTCCTGCTTCTTACGCGTTTCACGCCCTGATTGGCCAGAATTTTGACTGGGTGTTTGGACTAACTTAACAGATTGTTGAAATTGAAATTGCTTTTGATTCTCTTTCAGGATCAGCACCGACCGGAAGAAGAAAGATTTGGGATATACGACCTGCTGTTTAATATAAAAATTAATTGATTAAAAAAATTAATTAAGATAATTATTTATAATAAATATGTATTGTTTTTCTAAAATATTATTACTAATCAAGTATATTAACAAGAACTACCATTACAAAAAATATTTTAAAAAAAATAGATAAATATAAAAAATAAAATAGATTAAGATCATCAAAATACACAGAAGATAGTATCATATGCCGCCCACTTGTTTTCTATATAATGCCTCTTTGTTTTACCCTCTTCTCCGTGCTCCTCGTCTCTGGTTGATTGGTTCTTTGAGATTTGGCTTGGGCGAAGTTACAATCTCGTTCTGCTATTTCTCTAGTAAGGCTCTTGTTCTTTGACATCATAAACTTCTTCTTCTTAAATGTTGTTGGTTAGATTTTTCTCCTCCTCCTTCTCATTCATCTTCTCTTTCTTCTTCGAGTTTTTTCTCCCTTCTTTTGAGAGTCACGTACGGTTATATTTTCCTTTTTTGGGGTTCTTGTTTGGTCTGATCTTCCACAACTATGGCCGACAGTTGTCATTTATATATAATTTGGGATGGGCTTAAATTGAGTAGTCTTTTGGAAATTATATTAAATTGACAAATACGCAAGATTAAAAATATACCTGAATTTTACATTCTATTATTGCTTAATTAGTGACGAGATTGACTGCTTTTATGAAATTGTAGACGCGTGCAAAAGGAAAAGAATTAAGAGCTTTCTAGTTCCTAGTTTATATTTCTAAGTCATTGTTTGGATAAATATTTATTTACAACAAGGAAAATAAAGCTGTGTCCAGATATAGTTTGCGATTTGTGGACATTAGAAACATGAAAAATCTAGGGCAATAATAGATATGTAAAAATAGAGTTGTGTCCGGATATAAACGGAAAAATGAAAAAAAAAAGAAACGAAAAAACTGACGAAGGGGGATGTAGATGAATCATCCAAATGACCAAGCTTTTTTAAGTTTCACTGATAGGGGGTCTTGCCGATTTGGTTGGTGTTGCAGCTATAGAGATGGATGTCTGTGAGAGAGAAGGGTCATCATTATTGAAAGTTGTGTTTGGATTAGTAGTAAGAGAAATAATATTTTTTCAATCAGACTTTTGATAATAGGTAAAAAATCAGATATGGTAATGACTTCACTCTGACAAAAACTTGCTTGGATTAGACTCAAAATAGGAGAAAACAGAAGTAAAGATGAAGAAGCCGGAAGCAACTGCAAGTTGCTTTTAACTTTTAGTCTAGAAGTCCATTATAAGTCCATCTACTTAGAGGTCAATCCAAACACTTATTTAAATTAGAAGTTTTTTTGTCACGCTGTGAAAGTCAGTTTGGAATCAGCGAAACCCGAACTCGATTCATTGAGAGTGTTGAGAGAGAAAAGATAGTGACAGGGGCCAAGAGATTGTGCCTGTTTGGAAGGGCTTAAAAAATTTCTTATAAGTATATTTTCCGTAAATCGAGACAAAATTCTGTAAATTATTATTGAAAAGCTATTTATAAGTTATTCCAAACAGCCTTAATAAAAGAGATAAGGATTGAGAGAAGAACGTTACAGATGAGGCAAAGAAAGGAGAGAGAAGCGAATTTTTAATAAATGAGATTTGAAATATATAAATATATGGAGACATATCGGGGTGCACTGGACCAATTGGTCAGATATCAGTTTGAAACCCGGTCCAACCCGATCTAAAGAGATCGGGCTGGTCTGGTCTGTATTACTTCGGGCTGCAATTTTTGGGGTTAAGACCGTGTTGGACAATGCACCGGGTTCCAGGTTTAATGCACATTCCTAGAAAAATCGATAATTTGTATACATGTACAGTTTGGTCCAGAAGATGACTAGACTATGCACTGTTTATGTAAGACGCGATCCATTATGTTTAGGTCCATCTTCTAGGGTCAGAGCATACTTTCTTGAACAATGTTGAACGCCCTAGATGCTGGAATACTTTTAGTACTATGTGCTTATTAGCATTAGCAATAATCAAATTGATTAGCAAAAGTTGCAAATTATTAATACTAATAAATTTTTCTTATCTATATGAGAAAATTGGGGATAAATTCTTATTGAGAAATCAATTGATAAATAATACCTAAGGATTTAGTATAACTTAATTTCTCTTGCGTGCAATCCGTCTTTTTTTGTGTGCTATCATCTTCTCTTGTGCCACTTCTTTTCTTTGTGTAACTGAAATTTTCTTATGTGCAATCCATTTTCCATCATGCGCAAGTTATCTTCATTGTGTGCAAATTAATCTCTTGTATCCGAATGAAGTTTGTGCAAACTATCGTTCATATGTGCAACTTATCTTTCTTTATACAACTCATTATCTTAGGGACCATTTGTTAATTACTTTCTCAATGAGGGATTTATGTCCAGTTTTTCCTATTTATATTTGACTTATTTTTGGATGTCATATATATATATATATAATTTACACCATTTGAATTTAATTTGCAAGAGGCAATGAGTTCATCACCAGTTGACGCCCAGAAAGGAATCCTAGAGAAACTACAAAGTGATGCTATGGCAGCCAGGTGGACAGAAGTATTGGAAACGTACCGGGAAAAAAGGGAGCTTCGCACAGCCCATACACATGGCTGTGTTTCATGGGTCAGACTGGGTGGTATCAAAAATAGTGAACTTAATAGTTAATGAAGAGAAAACTCAGAAAGCTCAAGATAATGAGAAGGTTATGGAGTCTGGAGACAATGAAAAGAGTCCGAATGTGAGCGATGTCCTTGGGGCTAAGAACAACAAAGGCAATACTCCTCTGCATTTAGCAGCTTCTTACGAATGTAGAGCTTATTATGATTCAAGAAAAAGTATTGATATGTCTACGAAGATTGGAGAGGCATACCCGTCCTCCGTTGTTGAGCCCAACAATGCCGGCGAGACGCCCCTCTTCTTGGCGGCTCTTCATGGCAACAGAGAAGTTTTTCTTTGGCTTCATTATCATATCCCTCAAGATCCTTCATCAAGTCGTGATGCTCACTATAAAAGGGACGACAATAATGACACCATTAATGATACCATTCTTCACTGTGCAATTGCAGGAGGGCATATTGGTAAATACAAACTGTCATTCATCCTTTCATATATTTCCATGTTTAATGTAATACTTCTCCAGTCTTTAATATAAGACTCATTTAACTAATTTGATTAGATTAATAAAGTTAGGTAAGTTTGTTAATTATAAGAAAAGTGACACATTTTTCTTAAAAAACCATAATCATCTTTCTTAATACTCCTATCCCTCTTCTACTTGATTATGGTTGAAAGAGCATCCATAAGGGTAATTTAGAAAAAACTGATAAATATGAAAAATGGGTCTTATATTTAGGATCAAAACCAACTCAAGAATTGGGTCCTATATTAAGGACTGGAGGAGTATTTATTCAAGTGCATATGGCTTGGTTTGGTTTTGTAGATGTGGCAATCGAAATACTTCACCTTTATAAAAATCAAGAGATGACGATCATGCGCAATAAGAATGGATTGTATCCACTCCATATCTTAGCGGCAACCCCTTCAGCTTTCAAAAGTACTGATCTTGGTGGTCGATCTTTCATTGTTCGTCTGCTTTATCACTGTAAGTACATTGTCTTTCTGTGATTTCATGCTTGCGATTAAGGCAAATTTTTATCCTTTGTATCCAAATAAGCCTTCATATCACGCATTTTAAGCTTCTCATAACAATCCTCTACGTTCCTTTTCACAATACGTCTTTCCATATAGAAGAGAAAGAAATAAGGCAAAGGAATTAGGGTAGAGGAGCTCAAGTCTGAAAATGAGATAAGCTGGCTTCCATTCGATATATTTTTACCCTTCTTCATTTCCATTATTCTTTTTCTGCAACTCATTGAAACACCACTACTAGATCGGCTCCATCAATTAGTTTTGCACCCTTGCCATGGCTAATTTCTTTCTTTTGTTCTCTCAATCTAAAATAACAAGAGCGAATCAGATCTTGAAAGATTTTTTTGGATTCTGCGAGAGGAAACAAACTTCAGTAGAACGAGCCTTTTTCGTTGTCTGTGCCAGAGGTACGCCTATGGGGCGTTGGATTGAGGTGAGAAATGGGCGTCAGCAGTAGTGAGTCTTAAATTAATCCATTTTTAATATATTAAGAGTAAAATTATGCACTAAATACTTTAAGATGCTGATGCATTTTCAGAAATATGTCAGGGTAGTTCAAACTTATATTTTAATAAAGGTATCATTTTTATAGATAACAGCTTGTAAAGAAAGAGATTAATATTATTCCTATTATAGCAGGCGCAACCGCGCAAGCAACTAAGGATTGAAAATAGTAAAAATATTGTTATGTATTTTAATCATTATTTCTGTTGATAAAACTCCTTTTAATATATGCAATTAAAATAGAGAATTTATGAAAAAAATCATAAATTTAGAATACAAACTTAATTGGGATATTATATTTATGATTAAATTAATCCCTCAAATAGTTTTATATTTAGGAGGAGGAATAGTATTAAGTACTCTGCAAGGGCTATAAAATTGTGCTTGGATTGTAGCTTCTTTGAATTGTAATCGGAAGAATGACTATAAATTTAGTACTCATTTTCCTATTTAGCACTGAAGTCTTAATAAAGTCCCAAGTTAATACTAACCTTCTTAAGAAGTTCACAGTTGTCATTATTCCATTGCAATTATAATTTTTGTTTCTTATAAATTTATATATTTGTGTGTATTGCAAAAGCACCATATCCTTTATTTTTCAAAAATGAAAATACCAATTTATCATATACGTATCCGTTTTGATTATTCCAAAAGTATCTTGTGGTTACGAGTGTCTTGGTTGCTTGGAACTTTGGAAGGGTTTAAAGTTAAGAAGAAGGAGCAGGCCACGACGGAGGAAGCTATATTCCAACAACGTGAACACGAAGCACGCCTCGTCTTCGCTATGGTTGAATTGTTGCTTTGTAGTATAGGTAATTAAGTACGATTTACTAGCAATTGTTCTTCATTTATTTGAGTCACATTTCCAACATATATATGAATGTTGTCTTCACTCCTCATTTCTTAATTCAACAAAAATTCTAGGTCAACAAAACTTAGAGGGTACTTGTTTAGGAAATACTCCTCCAGTTCTTAATGTATAGGCTTATTTGGAGAGTTAATCTTGTTTCTATATATAAGACCTATTTTACATATTTATCAATTTTTCTCAAATTAACTCTATTGATATTTTCCTAATAATAATCAAGTAAAAAAGGGAGAGAAGGAATTCAAGAAGATGCTTATGGTATTTTTTTTAAAATCATATTAATTAATTTAACTAAGATCTTTAATCTAGTCAAATTAGTTAATTATGTCTTATATTAAAAGCTAGAGGAGTAATTAATTTTGTGACTCATATTTGCAGATTGTGTTGACACACTATCCTCATCTTGGGTGAATAAGATCCGAATTCTAATTGGTCTGTTGTGGGTTTCGGCCTTGTTCCTGCTGCTCCCCCTAATCATCCTTGAGTTCTTATTTTCAGCAGCAGGTACGCGATGTCAATGTCCATTTAACTAAGAGATACATGTCTTCTTTATTAAATGAAAATCGTGTGTGTATATAAGCACATGGATATGATTTATATGCCTATATCTATCTCTATATCGACGGGAAATACACAGACACACACACACGAGCACACTACAATTCGCAGTGAACTCAGCCCAAACCAAGGATTACAGAGAGAAGGAACACAGATGAGAAACTAGGTGGTCAATACTTCATTGAACCAGAGTTGGACAGCATATCATGTAAACAACCAGACTTGCCTAAATCTATTTTGGGCCTCAATTATAACATTATTAGAATACCAACAACGCACAAAACCCTTGGATCTATACAACATGTTTTGGTACGTTTAGATTCTTCCCTCAAGAATTGCATAGAGAAGAAACAGCAAAAATAATGGCATTGTTTTATGCTTCATCAACAATGACATTTTTTTGATAAATTGTTAAACAAACAATCTGATTATCAATAGTATACTCTATGGTCCACATTAAATGTTCAAACCACATTAAATGATTTCCACCATTATACCTCTGTAATTTTTGTTATCCCGTTAAATTCCAGCATTCATTACCATAAAGTATTGATGGTTTTTTAGTAGTTATATTCTAATAAAAATTATTGCTGCCTCACACATATCTTGTGTAGCTTTAATATCTGCAACATGAAAACCTTTCTTTTCCAAGGCTTTCCAAAGTACATTTCTTAGTACATGACTATAAGCTTTTTCTAAGTCAATGATAACAAGATATAATTATCTTCCCTAGCATTTGATGCTTTTCCATTAACCCTATGGTAAATAGATCACTTACATTGTTAATAAATTATTTTCTTTGACATATTATTCTTAGTACATTTCATTGAAGTATTATAAAGCTGTTGCAAGTGATGATTCATGTCACGGTATATTTTTATTTTAAATGTATGCTGTGTACTATATGAGTTGATGACTATATTTTTATTTGCAGTGAAACTGTTGAATATAGCAGTACTTATAGTCATATGCTGCTAAATTGAAATTTAAATTTAAGAAAAATCCTAATAAGATTGATGTGTTAAACTCAATGGCTCTATATGAAAGTTTAAACAAACATATTTTGTTTTAACCTTACATAATTATAAATTATTTGTAAATATTATTTTCTAAAAATATTTTGCTCCTACTAACTCGGGGTTCTTATTCCTAGGGATTTGGTTACTTCGGATACGAAAATTGAAGGAGAAGCATAAATGGTCTCTTCAAATATTGGAACAATTTCTTCAACACCCTTCCTGTGGAAGTATCTCAGAAAAACCATACGAAGTGGACAGCGGTAAAAAGTTTTATTTAAACTGGAAGCATCAGTTCATAAAGCATTATTCATTTATTATAAACATATAGAGCGTGACATCTTAGGACGAGTAATTAATCATTCTTGACCTTCACCGTGGGATCACTTGATGATAAAATATTGAATAAATCACATCAATATCATTCTTGAAGCATCAGTTCATAAAGCATTATTCATTTATTATAAACATATAGAGCGTGACATCTTAGGACGAGTAATTAATCATTCTTGACCTTCACCGTGGGATCACTTGATGATAAAATATTGAATAAATCACATCAATATCATTCTTGAATAAATTGCTGCAATAGCTACAATTTAATTTTGTGATTCGGATTGTGAATGATTGGATAGAGGCAGGGTCTAAAATAGTTGTTGACACACCACTAATCATTGCTGCTAAGAATGGTGTGAGAGAAATGGTGGAGGGAATCCTGAAATCATTTCCAAATATGAAGAAAGCAGAGAATGATGAGGGAAAGAACATAGTTTTATTAGCAGTAGAAAAGAGGCAGACCAAGCTGTATCAGTTTTTGCATGGATGTTCCTACCTTGACGATGCTGCATTTAGTAAAGTGGATAAAGATGGAAATACTGCATTGCACTTGGCAGCCAAGCTGGGGGTCAACCTAAATATGCAAACAACTACAATGGTAGAGGAATACAACTGGTTTGATGTGCGTATCTATTTTCTATTAAAATTTCTTTGGCTTGTCCATGAGGTCTAATCAAAATGTTGGGTAAATAAACATGGTGTATACTTATAAATGGTGATGCAGTTTGTGAAAAATTCAGTGCCTTATAAATTGTGGGAGAAATACAACAACGATGAGAAAACAGCAGAAGAAATCTTTAGAGAAAGTTACAAGGAACATATGAGAAGTGACAGACAATGGTTGAATCAGACCTCACAAACATGTTCTGTGGCATCGACCCTAGTTGCATCCATGGCCTTTTCTCATGTTGTGTCAGAGCATTTCGATGAAAAGAACTACTCATCACTTGTGGCCCTTTCCTTGTCCCTCACTTCCACCATCTCCTTCTTGGCCATACTTGCTTTTCGTTCTCAATCTCTTATCTTTTGGAAATACGCACCTTTCATGCTTCAAATTGCTATTTTGACCATGTTCGGTTCCATTGTTGCTTTGTGGATCTCTCTCATGCTCCTTGGCAAATCTTTAACAACTTACGCAATTCTTGGCTCGCCAATCGCTATCCTTACCATTCTATCACTACCCATCTTCATTGGTCCTACGTTAATGGCTTTGTTTACCAAATATCCACCCCCTAACCGCACCACCACAAGTGCCATCCGCTACCGAAGGCTCCAGAGAAAGGAAAATGAAACAGATTCGAAGCCGCAAAATTAAGTGTGTGTGATTTGATACATCTTTCTATTTCTCTCTTGTTTGCAGTGATGTGCGCGCAATATTTAGAGCATAATCTTTCAATGTCTGAGAACTGTTCTTGGAGAGGTTTTGTGATAATTATCCCTTGGACCTTACTTATATAACTTCTTTTATGGGCTGCTCTTGGTGATGCTAATCCGACTTGCGGCCTTGTCTTTTTAGTCTTTAGTTACTTTCATTAATGAAATCATGAGCTTGAATAGACAGGGAAGACAAGGATGCACATGATGATCAACTGATCTAATTCTAACATATACCTTGACTTGAGCAAATTGAGCAATTCAATTGAACTATTGGGATGATTATCATTTGTAACTGCTGGGTAGATATTACTTTATTATTATGATGATTCATGATTATATTTAAAAAGTGGAGATAATTAATGATTATATTATAATTGATTTAGATTTTGAATTCAACATGGGCTATCATCAGTTAGTAGGAATGATAATATGCCTATCACACACTCAGCCAAACGTAGCATATTCATTCAGTGTAGTGACTCCATTTTTCCATAAACCAAGCAAAGATCACATGCATGGGAGCTATGATCCGAATTAAACAACCCAATGATCCATTTCTAGATGCATACTTCATGTTTTGGGGAGGAAACCTCACTTCCTAGAGAAGGTAAAAAACAAAAAGTATTACTTTCTATCCTTAATATAAGAGCTAGTTGACTAATTTAAGTAGATTAAAAAATTAGTTAATTTAGTTACTTGTAATAAATAGATGTTACCTTTGTTAAAATGCCTTTACTAATCATGTGCATTAGCTATAATTACTATTTGATAGAATCTTTAACATGTAAACTACTTTAATGACTACTTTGAAAAAAATGGATAAATATAATAAACAAAATAAATTGAGATCTTATATTTAAGGTCAAATTGAAAGTCAAACTAACTTTTATATTAAAGACAAGAGCTAGTGATTTAGGGGGACGGCTCATGGCCAATGCGAATTGCTTTGTATCAAAGGTGTATTTTGAATGATCGGGGCCTTTCTGCACGTATGATGAGCATATGAAACCTGAATGTGATAATAGGGCAGCAACTGAAATTGCTCAGAACCCAGTCCAACATCATCACATGAAGAAGAGAGCTATCAAGGATTTTGATCTTGTTCCGGAACACCGTCAAGACATCCTGCTTCTTCATGAAGTCGCCGTCACTAGCAAATGACGAATCTGAAGCTGAAATGGAAGGGAAATTTTAACTTTTGCATAGGCGCATTTTGGTCAGAAAATTTTTGTTCCCAAGGTACAATTTACATTCCCTGGGTGGTGGGAGAGCTCATTTTCAAAGCTATCAGCTATATAACATGTACCAAGCATGTCAAGCATGGATTCTCTTAACGACTTCGATTCCTCATCTCCCGTTACCTTACCAAACACATCCACATATAGATTACTTCCAATAATTTGCAGCTGAGATTTTAAATTTGCATGTATATGAATTAATATTACATTACTACTTATATACTTAACACTACATTAATTGTTGCTCCTTCAATCCACAGTGTAGCTTAATCCACAATATAAGTCCAATTTGATATCTAAAGTATTTAATTTTTTTTTTCTTGTCTTTCATTCTATAGAGTTATCTTGGCCAAAAATTCTATGGAGTTAAACTTTATAAGTAATTAATTCATTACAATCATTGTAGTTTGACTTTTGACAAGCATATATTTAAAAAATTTTACAATTTTTTTAAATATTTAATTATATATGGAGCTTGTTTTAAACAATTTTTTTGGTCTACATGTGGCAATTAAACCATTAAAGCCGACTTTTCTATTGTGAAAAGCCATGAAAATTCATGTTAGCTCATGCTCCGGGTGGCTTTTAAGGGCTCATTTGGAACAACTTATAAGTAGCTTTTCAATAGTGATTTATGGAACACGAAGTAAGTATGTGAAAAGAGTTTTGTCTCAATTTACATGAAAACGTGCTTATAGTGGATTTCTTAAGCTCTCCCAAACAGGCACTAAGAAAACAAGCTTTTGGACAAAAAGTTAAGGGTATGTTTAGATTAGCAATAGGGTAAATAACCTTTTTCAATCTGATTTTTACAAAAGTCAAATTGGGTAAAAGTCAGACAATACAATACAATTTATGTTTAAATTTGCTTTTAAAAAGTCAGTTTGAAAAATTACAATTTGTTTGGATGATTAATAAAAAAATAATTTTAAATATAAAAAGACTGAAAATGATATAAATTTTATTAAGTAATACATATTTAATATTACATGTATATAATGTGGCAATAGTAAAAGAAATATTGAAAATAAAATTATTAAAAATAAAAAATTAATTTATTATTAGAAAGAAATTAAAAATACTAAAATACTTAATTAAATATATTTAATAAATAAAAAAATATGAATTAGAAATCATGCAACTATAGTATTTTTAATTAAAGTAAGTGCCACAAACTTTTGGCTGTTTGCTCATATTTACTCGTCTATTTATTTCCTCAACTTGGTCTTTCTTATGAAAATTCAAACCGCACCATTGCTCTTCCCGCCGTTAAAAGCAAGATTCATGAGCTTCATTCCATGAGTCTACTTGGGACCCAAAAGTCGATTGTACGAGTGAGTTTTTTTTGCTGCAAAAAAATGTAAGTGAGTTGGGTTTAGACGTGGGAATGCAAGTCTGGGCCTCTAAACATGATCCAAATACTAAAATTTAGACGGGACATGACAAAAAGAGATCAACAAGGGAATTATAATCAAGTTTAAAAAAATTAATTACTTTAAAATTTTAAACAGTATGTAATGACATGTTCAAGATAGAAACTGATAATAGGTTCATATTAATCAATTATCAGAAATTTTTTTATAAGTAAATTTTTTTGAGGACTTCATGATAACTCTCTCATCAATTATTTTCTCTTTCGGTTTCTTATTCCTTTTTTCACCGCGGAGTTTCTTGGTCGTTAATCCAGACCAATAAAGATTATTATTATTATTATTATTATTATTATTATTTTCACTTTTGTCAAGAAGGAATGAAGAGCGGAGTCAGAGCCAGATTCTTAGGTCACGTTTGGTAGGAGGGATTGATTTTTAATGGAATGGGAATGGTAATGGGATTGGGAATGGGAATGGTGATGGGATTGGGAATGAGGCTTTTATTTTGTGTTTGGTAGGAGGTAATATGTGGAAGGAATACATGTATTTATTTTATTTTATAATAAGATATATAAAATTAAAAGACTATAATACCCCTTGGTATTTTAGAGCTTGGGACTCCAACCTTATGTACTCCTTTTCTAATAAAAAGAAGACCACATGGTCATATATATTGTTTTAAAAATAAATAGATTAAAATTTGCCTCATTTTACAATAAAAATAAGTAAAAATAAATTAAATATTTTGAAAATCAGAAATTTTTCACCGATCCCAACAAATTTAAATATAAAAAAGTAATAAAAATTTAAAATTTATCCCAAAAAAATTATTAATAATTCCTTAAAATTATAATAAAAATTTATCACTAGGTCCTTAATATTATAATTTACTTAAATTTAGTAATACATTTTAAAATTAATTATACATAAGATCAAAAGATAAAAAGCAAATGTCAGTTCTTACTATAATTTTATGTAATATTAGTTCAAGTAAGATAATCCATATCTTACTTCAAATGGCCATCAAAATATTCCTATTTGAAACAAGATATTCCTACTTGAAACAAAATATTTCAAGTCTATAACAAAATATTTCTGTTTGAAACAAAATATTTCAAGTCTAACAAAATATTCCTATGTTTCTCATGAAAAGAATTCATGAAAATATCCCAACTTCAATCACACAAATATCAAAATATTCATCAGCTTGTTCATGGAGATATTATTTCACGGATCACATGAACTTTCCCCTCTTGAGACATGGCAAAAAATCCAATCAGTATGCTCTCATCAGATATCATCTTGACATAAGCTGCCATACGTTCTTTGTGTGAAAGTCCTTCAATCTTCATAAGATCACCATAGAGTGACTCCTTCATCCCATCCAAACGTTTCTCACGTTCAACCCTATCCAGACGCATTCCCAAACGATCACTTGCCTCCATCAAACTTTCAGAAAATGAATGAGCAACTGCCTCAATACCTTTGAGTAAGATGTCATCACGATCAGCTCTTGTGCGCTTTCGCTTTTTGGACCCTGAACTTGCATCAGATGAAATGTGCTTAGTTTGATTGTTGACATGTGAAGTGTCTTCCGGATGTGAAGTGTTGACATGTGATATATCCATATTAGCATCTGGGTCAGCCTCAAGCATTGAATTGTCCAAACTAGTCTGATCTTGAAGCTCCTCAAGGACATCTTCACATGTTTGAGCATCCTTGCCGGTTGCCCTGTCCTTGCCAAACATGTCATGAAGCTCATCATAATAAGAGAAAGACTTGTTCCAGAACTTAGCTGCCTCCTTGTGCGCCTATAAGGATAACACAAGTTACAATCATTTGTAAATAATTAAACAACCTGAAATACAATTATGAAATTAATTGTAACTTAAACAGTTATGAAATGACCAAATTGGTTGAGGTATGAAACAATTGAATGGATAATAAATGGTTACAACCTCGGTTATTTAACTTCATTACAAGGAAATCTAAACCCCAAACGTCACAATTTACTACCCACAGGTACATGCGAAATAATTATTCAATACATGTTAAATAGAAATTTTAAATCATGGGCGTAAATTACTTATATAGGCCTGCAAACCTTTTATCAATCCTAAAACTCATTAAATAGGCATGCACAGAGTGTAATAGAATGAATTACTATCTGCATGTATCAATCAGAGTAGTGAACAACAGCTAAATAAAAAATAGCAGTGGTCATTAACAAAAATAATAGCCATATATGTAAATTGCAAATGTAAACATTTACCTTTACATACTCATCCCATACTGCCTTAGGAGCTGTCACACATTTCCTCTCAGCATTCCAACCAAATCCAGATAAATTGAGGAGGTCAGAAACCACACCATAGTCAGTTTTTAGCTTCTTAATCCTAGACTGTATGTGAGGATGGGCCTTAAGAGAACATCCTGGTATTAAATCATACATCATATCTTTCAAAGTGTTCAACACACCAGACCTCAAACCATTCTCACACATAAGTTCACCCTTGGCATGCAATATCATCATGCAATGAATTAGTAGCTCATCCTCTTCGGGTGTCCACACATGCTTATCTAACTTTCCAGATTTTTCTGACATGTTTGGTTGACGATAAACATAGAATATTCCAGCAAATAAAGTTAGCATAGAGTTAAAACCATATTCCAACAAATAAACTATATTCCAACAGATAAAGTCACAAGGTTAAAACCATATTCCAGCAACTAAACTCTATTCGAGCACAAAGTTACCACCATATTCAGCAAATAAAATTATATTCGAGCACAAAGTTACAATAGTACGTATGGTAGAAATGAAATTACAGCAAGTAAAGTCACAAAGTTACAAGGCTTAAAATAACTCTTTCATGTAGAAGCCCTATTAGAAGTAAAAGCATTGAACATTCATTTGCAAGATTATCCCTAAATGTAGCCCATTCATCAGATGTATCCAAGTTTTGAATTGGGGGGTAATCCATCCTGTCAACATCAACTTCAAGCTCTTCAACTTCATCTTCAAGTAGATCACCTTCTTGATGAATTAAGTTGTGAAGGAGGCAGCAAGCAATTATTATTCGATTATATGTCCTAATGGGATAAAATGATGGGCTTCTTAAGATAGCCCATCTTGACTTCAAAATGCCAAAGCACCTTTCAATAACATTTCTTGCAGATGAATGTCTCATATTGAAGTACTCTCGTACATTTCTAGGATGTCGCCCCTCTCTCCATTCACTTAAATGGTATCTTTGTCCTCTATATGGTGCAAGGAATCCCTCACAATTGGTGTATCTAGCATCAACCAAGTAATATTGACCTTGTGGAACTCTTAAGCCATTCCTCCTACTAATGGCATCACGAAGAACTCGTCCATCTGCTGCAGACCCTTCCCACCCAGGCAGAACATATATGAAGTACCCATCTTGTGAGCAAACACCTAACACATTTGTCGTTATCTCTCCTTTCCTATTTCGGTATCTAGCCTTGTCAGGAGAAGGAACTCTCATTTTTACATGAGTTCCATCTAATGCACCTAAACAATGCTGTAACAAATAAAACACATATTATATACTTCTCACACATCTTTAAAAATTAATGATAAATATATAACATGTATGTCTACCTTGAACCACTTCCACTTATCATCATTTGAGTCTTCTGGTACAGGCTCTGGTTTCTTCAACAACATATTTCCAAGTCTCATCATACCATTAAGTACTAAGTTGAAATACCTACTAATGGTTTCTCCAGATCTTCCAAAGTTATGCTGTATCACTCTATTCTTCACATGATGTGCTAATATGTGTAAAAATATGGCAACTTGCTCATCTATAAGCATATGTTTACTAGGTTTGAGACCACCCACATCTCTTAGCATATAACATAGCTTATCAAATGTTGCCCTATTCATTCTAAGTAGGTTGAAACATGCCAAATCACTAATAGACACCATTCTCGTTAGATAAGACCTCTTAGCAAAGAAGTCCATTTGGTAAGTTATGTGTTTGACTCGTTGTCTCCTTAACATAATACTCATGCATATACAGAAAAACAACCCCTGCACTGCCTCAGCCATGCTCACCCACAAAAGCAACACACGTAATAGTTCTCTCTTTTCTTCAGATAATGCCATAACTGTGTAACCAATATACACATATAAGAACAATTAAATCACAAATCTACTAATGTAACAAATCTATTATTCATGAATTAATCCAAGAGATACTAAAAAAAAATCTCTTATCTTGAACTAAACTCATCCTTCAACAAAAAAACCATATACACAGATTAATTACTCTAATCAGAATATATACACATAATATATATACCCAAAAACAAAAAGAATAGGGGAAAAAAACTAGTAAGTTGAGATTATATTGTTACTTTCTGCTCAAAGTTTAAATGAACAATTAAATTAAATTTCAACTAAATGATCATTCATTGCTATAATTAAGCATATTGTGGGCGTTAAGGAAGCTTTCCCTTTATGCGTATGGTTGCTGTTATGCCACCTGGACGACACACACACACACATATGGCCATTTTAAATTGGTTTGGTTCGAAAATATATATAAGTCTAATTTTCACTAACACTATTTCTATATTTTTTTTTGGCCAAAAATTACTAACACTATTTTAGCTTAATTAACTCGTCTGCCTTCTTATCAGTTAAAGAAACTGGAGTTTCTGGCAGGCTACCTACAGAAAGTTGGGGAACTCTACTTTCATGAAAAAATGAAGGACTCGCATGGTCCCTTTATATTCTTCTAACTGATAAAACATCAGGTATATATCAGGTACAACTGAAAATGCCCATATACTGTCATTCTGCTGTTTCTTCTTTTGGAATATATTCTAAAAACTTCCTTGATTATTGCATCTTTTTCAACATTTTCCTGTCATCTTTCATGCACGCATTGAAGTTTGGGATATATATACATATATATAGATATGGTGCTTTTAGATTAGACCGATGGATAATAATTAAGCTCCATTAACTTCTTCTTAGATTTTGACATATGGGTGTTACCGAAATATTTTTGAAATTGATGAAATATATGAGGACAGGTTTTATAATTCAGGATATAGGTGAATGTAATCTAGCATAGATAAAATCGATTAACAGTAAGCAGGTAAACTGTAAACTACCTGATGAAGATAAAATCGATGAAGCGCTAGCATTGCAAATCAGATGAGGGAGATCAAATCAGTAACTATAAAATCATTGACAAACTATTTACAATCTCAGCATTATTAAATGGATTCATGTTTGTGATGCTATCCATCTTCCAAATCCACCAAAATATGTGAATAGAAGAAGATTCAAAAAAATTGCTGATGAAAACTGAAAAAACAGGAATCACATTTATCTTACCAGTGATTGAGGATAAACAGAGTTGCCGAGAGCGACAATGTGAGTGATGGCGTGAGCGATGAACTGAGCGATGGTGTGAGCGATGGAGGAGAGCGGGCGTGAGAAAGATGGAGATCGAGAGCTGAGAGGAGATGAGATAGAGGCAAAAATGAGAGGGGCAATTTTGTCTTAACGTTATTGTACTATGGGTATTTTTGTCTTTTATGCTTTTTAATCCCTGGATTAAAAAGGCATTACTGGGGGGAAGGTGAGATTGTATAATCCCACCAATGTGGTATTGAACAATCCCTGGTAATCTTTAATCCCTCCTACCAAACATGACAATTCACCCAATCCCTAGTCCATTCCCATTCCCTCCCCCTCAATCCCACCTACCAAACGTGGCCTAAGGGTAACAATAACAATAACAATAATACACCATAAATATTTTGTCATCATATTATACTATACATATTACTTCTGATCCTAATTATAAGAATTAATTGACTAATTTAAGAAGATTAAGAAAATATGATAAGTTAATTATTTGATATAAATAAGTATTGTCTTTTCTAAAATATCCTTGCTAAATATATTGGTTAGAACTATTATTATTATTAGAAGGACCATCTTAAAAAAGAAGTATAAATATGATAGACAAAATGAATTGTGATCTTATACTTGGATCAAAATAAAAATCAAATGAGATTTTATATTAAACATTTAAGTTTGTCCAAACGTAAGCAGGCTTAAGTTGATGTGAAAAAACAATATATCAATCGGATAAAATCCGACTTAATAATAAATATATATTTACATAAGCAAATTGTGCATACAAAATTAGACCTATTTTTCTTAAATGATGTTGAGTTTGAGATGGATGACATTTTATACAAATAGATTTTTTTTTGCCGCTATATAAATAGTTTTTTAACCTTACACACTAGTAACATTAGATGGATTTGGAATTGAATGGAAACTTTTGTGTTGCCCATATTTATGAGTTGATAAATGCAATGGCCTTCCACTATGCCATCGAATTATTGAGATCCACCATAAGTGGTCCTGCCGGCAGTATTCCCGGTGAAAAGTACAATTCCGGTCGTTATTTTTGGTTGTAATAAATTTGAAACACTCAAGCCAGCCCGTATCTAGTAGAAATGGTTAATAATAAGTTTGGTCCTAAATATAAAAATTAATTGACTAATTTAAATAAATTAAAAAATAATTTAAGTTAGTTATTTGTATTAAATATGTGTTTTTTTTTCTAAAAGATCTTTATTAATTAACTGTATTGGTTAAAACTATTATTATTAAAAAGACTTTATTGAAAAAAATGAATAAATATAAGAGGTAAAGTAAATTGAGATCTTATATTTAGAACCAAAATAAAATTTAAATAAGGTTTTATATTAAAAACTGGAGGTAGTATCTTATACCATGATGAATCAAGGTTTAAATTCTTATTAAGAAATATACCCACATTTAATACTTAATATTTTAAATAGGATTATTTCTAATAAAAAAATATATGTGCATGGCCAAAAAAATTCTTTTGAAAGATTCAACTTTTTCAGGTAAAAAAAAATACAATTTTTAATTTTCATCATGCAACTTGCAATCAATAAAACACTGTAATTAATAACTCCCCAGCGGCTGTCTCTCAACTTCCAGAAGTCAGTGGGTGGACCGGGTTGTGCAACTTTTGGGCCCTGCTCTGCTCATATATTTACTATTAGTGCCCTTATTTAGTCACTTCACAGCTTACCCGAAAAGACGGAAAAGCCCAGGGTTATTTTCCTTTTCTTTTAAACTGGGGGAAGATTTTTCATTGGAAAAATTGCAAATAAAAACCCCTTAAAATATAAAATTATAATTTGGGACTCTTAACATAGAAAATAACAAATAATGACAAGGTCCCAATTTTACAAATATGAAATATGAGTAAAATGTCTAAAATTCTCCTCAATCAAATAGTGATTTGGTCTGTTGAAGTTGTCATTCACTAAAATAAACTTATCATTTCCCATACTCAACTCGTTATTTGGTATATCTTCAGTCAAGTTGTGATTTGGTGTACTAAAATTGTTATTCGTTAAAGTGAACTTATAATTTTCTATAGTCAACTTGTCATTTGATTGAGGGGTATTTGAAACATTTCACCACAATTTCATATTTGCAAAAATGGGACCGGATCCTTGTTTGCTATTTTCTATATTAAGGGTCTCAAATTACAATTGTACATATTATGGGGTATTATTTGTAATTTTCCCCTTTTCATTTCAAGTCTAAGATTGAATTTTGACAGTCACAATGGACGTCCGTTTGATGGCAAAGCGCGGAGATTGACAGTCGAGTTTCCTATAAGAAAACTGTTAATATATTAGGCTCTTTTTAACAAAAGAGTGAATAATTATTCAATATTCTGAAATATTTTCCAACAACATTGATATGCTAAATTAATTTGTACTTTGTCCAGCATTTTAAAATATTTTTTTAGAAGTATCTAATGTCCTAAAATATTGTTTGAAATATTTTCTTAGCAACAATGAGCATTCTAAACTATAGATTCAAAATACTACTAAAATTTTTTTTTTTAAACAACGAGTATTACCGAAATATTATTTTTTTAAGGTATTAAATAAACCGTAAATTAATTGACGGCACGAAGTGATAATGAAAAATATTTCAGCACTGCATGTAGGTTAAGCCTTTATTATTTCAAGGAGCCTTAAAGAATATGTTATAGGAAGAATCTCAAAAAGATATATCTTGAATTTCAATATTTTTGAATTCATTTCAGAGTTGAGATTTTAAAATCAAAGAAGTAATGTTTTGGATAAGAAAATAACAAAAAAAGAAATTAAAAACTACTAAATACTAAATAAAGAATGTTAACAAAACTTTATTATTATTCATAAATTAAATATTACCAATACTAAATAAAGTGTTGTTATTAAACCTGATTTGAGATTTAATAATTTTCATATTTTTTTTAGTCATTTTACTTTTTGCGATTTTCTCTATACCATATTAAAAATTATTAATGAATTATTTTTTGTTGCTGTTGTCAAGATTAGTTAGGTTGTGTTTGGGTGACATCCCAAACCATGGTTTGGGGAATAAATCACCCAAACACCCACCCAAAAACCAAAACCATGGTTTTGGAAAAAGCAAAATTTTTTTGCTTTTGGAGAAAAAAGAGAGTGTGAGAGCCTATAGAATATGTATCTTGTTATTTTTTTATAAACATATTTAATCTTATATTTTATAAATATATATACATATTAATTATTTATTAATTATATTATATTATGTATTATTAATTATGTTAATAAAAAATAGATTATTAACAATTTTATTCCTTCAAATTAAAATATATCATAAAATCTATTTTTTCTATAATTATCATATTAACTTATGTCTTTTTTTTAGTAATTTGTATATATAAAAAGTACTTCTGATAACAACTATCCAAACACTCTCACTTCTCAAAATCACTTTTTCATAAAATTTATTCTTTCCAGAATCTATTCTTCCCAGAATCACTTTTCCAAACCACGGTTTGGTTTCATCCAAACACACCCTTAACCATGGTT